TAAGTCTATTGGTGTTGTAGGTTAGTGAGGGAAGAACCAAAGCAAAACTAATGGTCATATTATGGAAACGACAGCAGCTTTGTGGACACTGTCCCTACTGAGCCGAAAGGTGAAACTATAAATTTTCTCAGCTTGGTTAAAAATCCCAACCTTCATGGGCTGTTGGTATTGACTGAAAGATTAAGACTCCAACTATAAGCTGCTTTAAATGACCGTTAGAGACAAAATAAAAGATTTGTTTTCAGGAGGAAGTTAGAGCAGAATCTCTGCTTCTTTCCATCAAAAGGAGGTTGTTAAGGCTGTTCAGCCATCAGGTACTGGTCGTTGTTAGGGAGCAGTTTTTCACATGTCTTACTAGGAGGGGATATTGGAGCAGATCCACACAGATTACAGACAGATTATATCACACAGACAGATTGGAAACCAATGCCTCAGACCTAGTTCCTCAAAGGTTGATGTTTGCTAGCATTTGCTCAACAAAGGTTGGGTTATTATGAAGGGTTTAATAGAAAATTCCTTGTTAAATCAGATTTTCAAGAGCAAGATCAACCTTGTTTGCCATCAGAAAGTCAACATCCCTGAAAGGAATACATTAGTGAGATTTATGGGCTTTTTCCAAATGTATATGAGAAATGTGTTGAGTGAAATGCAGTTATGAGCATTAAAAAAGAATCTTATACCTGGTACAACATTAACCTTCTACTTGTATTATGCTGTACTTGCAGTGTTTTTGTTTGTTTTTTTATAATCCTGCTGCTCCTTATTTTCCTGTCCTTGTCAGCCTTTTGTTATTTATTGTTCAAAGTGTTAGTTCTACTTTACAAAACACAAAAAACCTAGACAGTTTTCATTCTTATCTTTCCACACATATGTGTGCATAAGTAAATAATGAATATAGTCAGTATTTTCAGGTCTTTGGACTTTGAAATATGAATAGAATAGAATAGAATAGAATAGAATAGAATAGAATAGAATAGAATAGAATAGAATAGAATAGAATAGAATAGAAAATCCCTTTATTGTCCCACACTGGGGAAATTAGGGTGTTACAGCAGCAAAAGATTATAGCAAAAGTCGTCACACAAATGTGGACCTTAAAAAGTGTATAAAAATAACAGAATAAGTGACATAGTTTTAAAAAATGAATATAATACTGTACTGTACAGTGGGATCTTTTCATGATTTTGTTTGTGTTCATACATCATACTCTGAAGTTTAACAGTTTTAGTTCTACTAATAAAAAACATGTTTTAGTCATTAAAGGTAAAAAAAAAAAAAAAATTAAACATATTTTTCAGTGAAAAGTTATATATCTCTTTAAGTACATTTATTAATTTATTCTTCTTATTTATGAAATATCTTAAAGGACTGGAAAGAGTTAAGTTTTCACTTTCGTTTTATACAGCATTGGTTTAAACATTTCAGTCATAAACAGTTAAAAACCTTGAAGACGATACGCAATATCAATGTTAGTAATCAAATTACTCACTGATTTTCTACAGATTTGTTTTAGAAAAAAGACACAATGCTGTCGTCAGAACTTCTCAATCTCCAATCCTATTTCAGGTTATACATTAAAAATTGTACAACCAGAGAAGTCAGCCATCGGTGCACGCAAACATGTTTCATGGTTTCAGATGATCCAGTCGATGACGGAAACCTTGTTCAGTTCTCTTTAGCAGTGGAAACATTACTAATAACTATCTCTACTATTTCTCTCATCATTTGATTTGCTTTCCTATGATAAACAAAAAAAATAAATGAACATCTAGGTGATTAAACTTAAAAAGAAAAAGAAAATTATATTACGTCTTTAAGATTCAGCTAAGATGTGCTGTTCACCAGAAGCTACTGCTTCAGGGTGAAGAAGCTCCCCTTGAAAATTTCACATTAGCTCTGGTGTTAAATTAGTTAAAATATTGAGTTTTACTGCAAAAATTGGCTTTTTAAAATTGCTCTAATAATATTGCATACAAGCCTCTTCCCAGACAACTACGCTAAAATGTGTGGATCATCAGCTATTACTTTTTTGGGTTAATAAACAAGTCTATGCATTTCACTAAACTTAGCATCAGTATTAACTTTCTCATTGAAACATCCAATGTGAAGCTGAAACAAGAATGCTTTTGCCACAAATGTTTGACTTTTACTAAGTTCCTACATTAGTTTCACACACAACTTAAAAAAAACATATTTTTCTTTGTTGCACATCACTTACAGCAAATAATTACTGATTATACCAGTATCTTACTTTAATAATATCTGTTTGTAATTATTATTTAAAAAAAATGTAATTGTTTTGAAGGACTAAGTGGCTAATATCTAACAACTTTCTAAATTCCTTTTTATGTGACTTTCATCCAACATCTCTGTCAAGCTCTCTTCTAACCTTGGAGAATACTTTTTTTCCTCTCTTTCTCATATATGCTGTTTGTCCTTACAAATGGGGCCTTCAGCTAATATAAACCAGAACACACAAGACAAATAAGCTTTAATGTGGTTAGGACACAAGCATCCCACATCCTCACTAACAAGAAAACACAGCAAATGAAAATGAAATGCCAGACATTAGCCAGAGCTGAGTACTGAGGGAGCAGAAATAAAAAGCATTATCAAATTAAATCTGTCAAATGGGCAAAGAAAAGAAGAAAAAGACTGGTGGCCATTGCTGTTTTTTTTTTGTTTTTTTTGTCATAAAATTTTATTTTCTTTAAAAACCTGGAATAAACCGAAACAGCATCTAAAACAAAAGGTTAAATGAATAGGCAACAAGCCCTATGAGTAAACAAAAAGAACATAATGAGAAATACTAACATCCTCCTTTAAAATTCCTTTTTTTTATTCATTTGTATAGATTTAAGGCTATCATGTCTTGCTTCACTGGTCTAATTAATACTTTGATGTTAAAAATGTTTAAATATGCTCTTTGTCAACTCTGCTAATCAGTGCTGTAAATGCCTGAAGAAATATAAGCATTAAAAGCCATTAAAATAATGTAAAATCCCAGGACTGGAGCGGATTTATTAGACTGAGGTTAAATTTCTAATTGCTGTTGATTTTAAATTAATCATATCTTCATTTTGTCTCCCACTTTGTTTTATATTTCTTATAAACTTACTCGTATATCTTTTTTTTTTTTACCTCAATGCAATAGTTTAACTCAGGAAGAGCTTTTTTTCTACAGTTTGACCTGGGGCTTAACTGATTGTGGTTTCAATAACAGCATGTGCAAGATTTATTACTCTTAAAGTTATTACAGAGACTGTATCAGCACTCATTCTAGTCGTGGTTTAATTTGCTTCCTATTATGGGGTATATCAGGGAGCGGGTCCAACACTGCAGAGGGGCTTCACTTACTATAAAAGCATTTGGGTGCTGCAGAATCCTCCCTCTGCTCTAAGCTAGGATAAAAGTGAGGAAAAGCAAAACAAGGCAGAGGTGAGAGCAGCTGGGAAGAATATGGAGAAGGTAGAAATGTTGATTTGAAGCTTAGACGTTTGGGAAATAAGAAACAAAAAAATCACAGCCCGTTTGTATATGAGTGTGCATTCCTATTTGCTAGACTAACAAAGCATAAAATAAGCTCCACAACAAACGCAGGCAGGTTCCTATTTCCCAGCACGCTCCTCATAATTGAAATGTTGGGTCATGTTAAATTCTCCCAGTGTAATAGTACGAAGCATTTTGAAGCTTGTTAAAGTCCCTTAAAAAAGGGAAACACTATCATATCTATTCCCTTTGTTGTTTTGTATCACTTATAAAAATAAATCTGGTCTTTAAAGATAAATATTTACTTTTTTATAAATACGATAACACTGATGTTCCAAGATTCAATGGTCACCGTTAAGAGAAGTAATGCCGGATGGAAGAGATCTGTACTCTCTTGAAACTAGTTTTATCTGCCAAAGAGCGAAGTGTTCAGATAAACAAATCCAGATCATTACTCCTCCACCACTGTGCTTAATAGCTAGTATACTTGTGCTGATGGCTGTGTTTGATCTCTCTACCTTGGTTTTCTCTGATAAAATGTCATCAGATTCTTCTTATACAGAAACCTCTCATTTCAAAGGAGGTTTAGTTTTTTATAACTACTGTATTACTGTTTTTGCATATTTAGCAGGTTAACGCACGAGTGTTTCAGAATTAATTCCCTCTTCGTTTTCTTTTTTTTCTGCCTTTAGTAATTTTTGAAAGCACAATTACCTGCAGGTAATCCCAACTAAATCCAAAATACAGAAAATAAAAATGGCACAGCAACATCACTGCGAATACATTGTTACATTGCTTACATTTTACATAGATGGAAATCATAAAATAAATTCAAGTGGTTGTTTTTGCCTTAACTTTTTTTTTTCCAAAATAACCATAAGAAATAATTTTATCTTGTGTTTGCCACCATCCCCATTTTTGACCCAGTTAAAGTGTCCTGAAACACAAATAAAACTTGAAGTGAAAGCAGATGGGGGGAGGAGAAAAACAGGAAGGAAGAGAGTGAGAGAGGGATTGTTGATGAGTTCGGAGGCAGGGAAAAATCAACGCAATTTGCTTAATAAAATTAGAGGCAGTAGAAGTGCACAAAGCCTGGTACTGGTGAGGGAGGACGGCATTCAGTGCAGGACAGCAGCTCTCTAACACATTAGAAACTTTAGAGTCGTGGTGTTGATTCCTGGCTGCACACCTGCCGACATTTTACCTTTTCAATTCCAGGCACATATTGCTACCTGAAAGCTGGATTATCTTAAAAGCCATCTTTTGAGGTGGGCTATGCTTCAGCAGACAAAGGAAGAAGGGGACCCTCCAAAATTGGAAGGGGATCATGACATTCCTGTGATGGCTTCCAGGGAAGCTCTGGACAGTCCTGCCTCGCTGACTCCAGGAGCTCCCACTGAGCCGACCCAGACCATGCTAACACCGAATGCTCCACGATGCTGTCGCTGTTTCTGTCAGCCCTGGTGTCTGCTCATTGCACTGACCCTACTCCTACTTTCTCTCCTCGGCAGCTGGGCAGTGGTCCACCTCACCATGGGAACGAGTGGAGGATCACCTTTTCGGATCTCAACCAGCTACGACCAGCGAATCCCTCATGATGATACTGCTACCATTGAACCTCACTTCACCACCAATTGCACCATGAGTAAGTACAAAAAATAGCCTGGATTCCAATTTAAAAAGTGTTGATCTTTACCAAACTTCAGTAGCAAAGTTTGGAAACTAACTTAAGGACTCAAAACTAATTTACTTCAGGATTCAGTTTAATAAAATTTATTTAATGACAGTTGTCTTTTGCAAAATACATAAACATAAGTTGATCTAAAAGAAAATGTAAACCTGATATCCGGGTTTTTTTGTCCTCTCTTTATGTGTGTATGTGTGCATTCACTAAATGTGTCTCACATGTCTGCAGCTTTCCCAAATCCTCTCAAACATGTCTGGAAATCGCACAGCTACTTTCCGTGATTTTTAACTTCATTATGATCTGTTGTGCAATGAAATGCGTAGACGGTCTAGGCAGAGATAATATCCTCCTCTGTCAACCTCAAAATCTCCCAGAATTGAATTAATAGTACTGATTCAATTTCCTATGAACTCGACCCAGCGACATATCTGCCCCCATTTCAACATGTAATTTGTGCATTTGTAAGGATGCATAGGTTGACCTAAGGTTCCTATAAGCAAAGCCTGAAAGATGCAAACATATTCTAATTGTATAAAAACAATGCAAAACAATTAATGTATACATTTTGAGAACTGTAGATGCCTAGGTAGAGTATGTAGAGGTATGAGTTACTGCAGTGAGTAGATCTACATTTGAAAATGACAACTTGTTTACCAGACAGTGCAGGAGTCTCCAGAACTCTGATAAAAACGAGTAATGAAGTAAAGATAACCAGCCAAGGGCTTCTTATCAGGAGCCAAATTAAATCTTGAAACTGGCAGCAGAGCTCAGAAGATCCCTACAAGGATATCAAAATGCTTACAAACTTGTTCTTACATGGCCGTGCATTTTTTTTGGCCTTAATATTTTTATGTGTTATTGCATTTCATATTTCAAATAGTCATGCTTTTTTGTATCACCACAGCTTTGAGTGAGAATTTTCACACAATATATTGATCAACTCAACTTTTATTAGAGTTCAAACACTGCAGCAATAACAGTGATAAATTTAATTTCAGCAAAGCCTCTTACAGTACGTTGAAAAGCTTACTGCTGTGACATTAATGTTGAAGAATATCATATTTTATCGTATTCCAGTGTTAGCTGGTTACCGTCTGCAGCTGATGTTGCACTAAAATTCAGATTTGCTGCTAGCATTAACATGAATGCAAAAGAAACAAACTATTTTTTGGTACTTTTTGTACAATAGCTTGGTTTATGCTTACAATAAAATCTGTTTTAAACGCAGATTTTTCATTAAATTAGCCATGGCTGGGAACATGATGTCATGAAAAGCAATCAAGTCCAACAGGTTCGAGTCAAAATGTCACACAATTAGACCAAGTTTTACAGCTAGAAAATATCTTTTAGTAATAACATTTCAGACATAATTTGTTATTTATTTTTGCTTTTTGATAAACTCTTTATGTTGTAAGAAAATCAGCAGTTTTGGGGGATCTTTGACCATTTTTAGAACTCAGATTTAGATTTTTGAACATTTACAGTTTTACAAAAACCTGACTGGAAGGGAAACTAAAACAAAAACTCATCTCAACAGATTTTTTTTTTTTTAAATGTTCCAGCTTTAATCATTTTATTAGTTAAAAGCATCTAATCGTACAATAATGGACCTGCAGCATCTTCCTTATTTTTTAAAGCACCACTGTAGCAGCAGTTATTAAAACCTTCAATATTGTTGAACCTTTGTGAATAAAATTTTTATAATGATTTGTATACATGCGAGTACAGAGACATCATGATATGAGTTTCTATTCAGTTTACCTTTAGGCAATTTTGACTATGTCAAAAGCCCCTTATTCTAATTAAGTTACTTCTCATTTTTCCTTTTTAAACCAGAATATGAAAGCTGATGTATACAATACAGATGTGTGCGTCAGGTTGGCTTGTTCTTACAATATCTGGCATCAGCATATAAGAGAACCAGTCCTGCAGTTCATGAAGCCTGAACACCACAGTTATTTTGGTATGCAGACATCGTCTACAAATTATTCTGAGGCAGAGCTGGCAGAAAAAAGGAACCTCAACATGCCTAACAAGGAAACCTACAAATGTACTACATCCACTGAATCACCATCAAAATGACAGGAAGGTGGGATGACCTAACAGCATTTGCAGCAGCTCTGTTCCACAATATCCACATCAGCAAACAGTAGTTCAACATGTCTGGGCTTTACTACAGTGCATCTAATGGACTAAAATTATGGAAATATGAACTGTTTACCAACATTTAACCTAAACATGATGTGTTATGATCATGTCCTGTACAATATTTCTTTTTTTTTACTTTAGGTACTTGTATTATATAGTCATTTCAAATTCACTTTCCCTTGTTCTGACCACCACAGTTTAAGCCCCCTTCACTCTTGACTGCCTCTTGGCACTGCCCACTTTGGTAGCATTTTTCAAAAATTGTTTTTGGGCAGGGTTATGCTTTTATAATAAGTTTAGGTCCACTGTAATGAATATAGATTGACAATAAAAAGGGTGAACGAAAATAATTTACAAGATTCTTCAAGACTTGATTTAAATACAATTTCTTCAGATATATGAACACATGTTACATTTACTTTGATTCTGCTTTTTAAGATTATTCTGAACCTTTATTACAAGGATTAAATTGGACATCCCTAAAAACAATTTAGAAAAAACTGCTGCATAATGTAAATACAATACAACAGCTTTCCTGAAAATAATAAATAAAAGCTACAGTGGTAGCTTACATCCTTACACTCTATAAAGCTACTAGGCTTAGGTCCTAATAGTGTTTGTGCTAAATGAGAAAGGAACAAAAAATTATATTAAAGTCTTCCAAATTAAGCTCTATTTATTCTCATTGATGTAAAGGACTATAGCCTCTCAAAACCCACCCGATCGCCGGCGACCATTTTGCTATGCAAAATAGGCGAGGATTACTTTAAATTAGATAAAGTGCTGGTAAAAACAGATATGACAGTGCAGTGTTTGATCTTAGTTTTCCACAATAAACAACTCTAAACAACATATAAATGTCCTGATAGTCAGTGTGAAGTAAGAAGATTTCTACATCAAGTTCTTATTTTTTATCAATAATATAATTGAAAACGTCAGCTCTAAAGCAGAGCAGTGATGAGCAGAAAGAGCTCTGAGTAAAACATAATGCTGAAGACCAGAAAGATTATTCAATGACCAGCCTATGGGTCAAGCTAAAAGACCAGTACATGGAAGCATTGGGTACGGGATGTGATGATGTGCTGTAGGAATTATTTTAGAATACTTTCAATGCATAGAAATTGCACGAAAGCCATTTTTAAATTGTTGGAAGCAACAATAGGCGATCCTCTTTTAAAAAAAAAAATCCACTAATGGGTAGATGACAAACTAAAATTACCGTAACAGTATTTTCTTAATCCATTCACACATTAAGAATTTCAGTTGGATTAAGGATTTTGGAAGTTAGTCATTTTAAACAGATTGCAACTTGGAAATAAGTTATTTTATTGTGTAGATAACTCTCCTGTTTTATCTAGTACAACTCTGTTGCTTTCTTTCTTGATTCCTTCGTATTTCTCATGCAGTGTTTTCCTTACTGCCAGCTGCCCTACATCCACAGGCAGAACATGCCCTTCACCACGTACCAGCTGGCAAGGTTTTCTTTATAACAAGGTTATTTAAAGGAACTTTGCACCTTTACTTTCAAGCAGACACACTGAATGATGTGGGACAGATGTTCAGCTCTGCATTCTGATGCCCTGACGTCAATGGTTATCTTTAAGTGGCATTTTTGTGACATTTCTACAGGTGTTTGAGGGCTCCTGCTGAGCCATTGTAATTTCCTGGTCTTACAATGACCATATTTAGAAGCTGAATCTTACTCTCTGACCTGGAAATAAGTGCAGCTAATTCATGATTATGGCTATTGAATAAGTGGTTCCTTTTTTTGCATATTTTTCAATATTTTAACATATTTTTTAATTTTGCTTTTCTTTTTGCACAGACTAAACTTCTCTTTGAAACCGCATTCCTTTTTAGATTAAAAATCCCCAAACTTTGATTGAACTTCTCTTCATGGCTGTAGCCTTTCCTTACTCCATGTTGTTGAATGAATTAACTGGTCAAAGCACTTTTTTGTACAAAAGTGCATTTACCCTTGAAGATTCTTTTAAACACAAAGCATTTCAAAATAAAAACTCTGGAAATCTATAAATAGATTGAAACTATCTGCTCATTAATTGCTTATTGCAATTCAGTTCAAGTGAATAACAAACAACAAATAAAGTGCAAGGTTATCAGTGTTTGAATAAATGAGGAAGATACACAGGCAGGAAAGATCGGTCCAATGTTTGGACCTCAGGTCAGAGCAACAAGGAAGAAATTTTGATTTCATGCAGCTTTACTGCCCCAGCTATTCATCTGATAACAAACTAGAAACGTCTGTATTTGCATTATGCATATCAAGCTTTGCAGATATGCAGAAACTGTGAGGAAGATATGATCAAATAGAGGACAAAAATCAGGAAATGTAACAAGCGGATATCTAACTTAAGCCTTTTTTTATGAGTTTAGACATAATATGTTTGTGTTACCATGTTAGACACAACCTCTTTACTCTATGGTTGGATGTTAGAGGTTGTGATTAAAATGATCTGTCCCTTTAGGTTTTAATGATTATTAGTATGCATGAGCTGTATAGGAAAAAATAAGCTCATTTTATCAGTTTCGGTTCATTTCAGGGAAATTTTCCAACACCTGTCTTTCCAAATTTGCTCCCATTCATTGGTTTATGTTAAAGACCTTAACCGACCAAACCGTTTTTAAATTTCCTTCATTTTTTTTTTAGCACTTTCATTGAAGATTTCCTGCTTTATTTGGGGGTAATTTCCCTGGTGTTCATCCAGTTTAGAAGTTCCAGCTCTTCAGAAGGTCTTGTATTTGTTTAAATAAATATTTTCTATTGACTTAATGACCACAAGGTTCCCAGT